TACCTTATGCACATGCGCCCGACCTCAGTCTCAGCCTCACCAGTCGCAGGAGTCAACCTTGTGGACTCGAAGGTTCTACTCGTACCCTAACCCCTGGACCTCCACCTCTGCACTTCACAGTGTCCGTTTGCACGCCCAGGTCTTGAATTCTGGCACAGTACCTGTAGAAACAAAAAGAATCAGCGCGGTTACAAGAACTACAAGTACTACCGAAACAGGTGCGGCATGGTCAATCGAGGCGAGCTACCCGTCCCTTGCGCGCTATACTCCATACGTCTACCTCGAGAGCTCGAGTCCGTGCGAGTACTCGGTACCTTGCCAGGCGCCCCAAGAAATCTCGCGTCTGCCGCCTGTTCCGCGAGGGAACTTACGAGTTCCAGGAATGAGTGCCCATTCTCCAATGCCATTTACCGATATCCCAGACAGTGGATAATCCCTTGGCGAGTGCTGGTGATTAAACTGTGTTTCACAAGTCAACTGGTCTTGATTCGCCACGCGGAAATCAAGGAGGAGGAGAACAACCTATCAGGCATGACACGCCTTACTGAGAAAGAGCAAGTGGACCAACAAGAGCATACGGGTGTTGGCTCTGCACCAGATATCCAACCCGCAAGCACGGTTGGTTGATGGCTCGATACATTGAAATGCTGTGGCTGGGAGCCATTCTACTCGTATGTCACGAAGTACGAGGGATTGGCTTACCCATCATCGAGTTGAAGGGACTTTGGCTTGCCTTCAATAACTTTCGGCCATAGCGCCTAAGGATCCCTCGCGCTGTCTCATGGTTTGACATCCGAGCGCTATTACGAAGCACAAGTCGACGACGAGCACCGTTTGAAGCCCCGCTTCAGCTGCTCGGGCCTTTTGCCTACAGCTAAGTGGCGGCGATGTATGTATGAACCATACCGATGATCGAATCACTCTTTTTTGGGACTTTTGTCATAGACTCTTCAGAGCTCGAGAGTCACAATCTGGTCTGAAAGGGCAGTCCATGCCTCAACCCACTCGCAGCTGGAAATCGACCCCAAGCACGATAATTGCGTAAGTCCTTTGTCTCCCAAGCCTCCAAACATTCCGTCTAGTGTCACAGGTATGCACGATCAACATGGCCACAAAAGCTTTGTTGATAGCTAGCTATGAAACATTTGACGCTGGTTACCTCCGAACCAAAAGCCACGTAACTTGCAAGGGAAGTTTACCCAGAAGAGTTCAACCTCCAGGAGAGCTTTTGCCGATCTATTTCCGGCTTCCCAGAGAGAAGATAGAGATTCCTTGATATTATCAGTGCTCGATCCCGAGTTAGGATGAGATCTCCACAACCTCTTCACGGCTTTTGCCGGAGGGTAACGAGAGCTAGCGTGCCACTGAGCTCGATATCGACCTGCACTTGTACAGGCACGACTGACGAATCAATATGACGAATCAAACGACCAAGATTTGAATGATGGTGGCCAACTCGGCATTCTTCCATGCTTGTGGAGCACAGTCACAATAATCCTACAAGTACTAATCGGCCCCCATCCCTCCTAGGTATAAGTTCTTGCCTCTGAGTGCAGTGGAAACATGTCCGATGCTGTGTGAACGGCCCTGGTTCTGCGGCTTTGAGGCAATTACCAGCTCGTCGTGCAAACACCTTGCGTGGTCTCTCACTAATCCACTGGGCACTAGACAGCCAAATGGTCGATCAAGAACAATAATGAGTTTCAAATGTTGAGTATGCCGTGCGTCCGATGGCTCCCGATGATTACGAACGATTTTTCATGGGCGGATTGGGTCTCTCCCGCTTGCCTGTGTCTAGAGGAGAAGTGCAATTTCTTTGTGCTTCAGGTAACACAAATGCCCACAACGAACTCTCCCAACTCAGTTCCTCGTTGATACCGTGGACTTCTTTTTTTCTCTCCCCCAAGCCAGTTTGATGGCAATTCGAAGGGAAGGGGGGGGGCAAGTCAAATAACGCAATATCAGTTCTGCGATCCAAGGGAATGACTCAAGAATTGACGATAGCAGGTACTGATTTTGACCTCAAAGGAAGTACTGCGCTGCTCCTGGACGGGAATGAGAGAAAGTGTGCCATTTTCGTCACTATTGGACTTTGCAACGCACCATTGTCCATATGGGAGAGAAATTGAAAGAGGGCCAGGCTACTCCGTGGCCCAACAATGTTTGCCACCTCTCCCACGCGAGGGCGTCGCAGCATCATCGCCAGAGATGGACTGCGCCTCGCAGGGTAACAATTCGACCGCCCCTTGCTCTAAAGGGAATCTCGCCGTTGCAGCAACTCTCCTGGTGCCTGTGCTTGGAGACACAGATGTCCACGCTGCCTGTCTCCAGCGCTTGCCAGGCTGTCCGATGATGATAAGCCACGGTACCTACGTAGATTTTCATGGAGACCACACACTTGTCTATGTGTTCAGCCAACGGAACCATGTCGAGTGAACTTCCCACCAGCTATTGTTTGCTCATCGTCAAGGAAGGTAATGGATACTTAAGGGTCCTCGTCCGAAGAGGATCAAGGACACGAGATATCTTGCGCACCAACTACGTCCAGGACGTGGCTAAATGCGCCGTATAGACGTAGGATAATCCACTCTGAGTAGGTAGGGAGCAGACATTCATTCCACACCAGAATGCATCGAAGCCAGCAGCAGGACAAGCGTAGCATAGCAAGAAAAGCAGTCTAACCCAGATTTCAAAAACCATGATATTCCATTGGCTAGCTGCATCGAACACCGCTATGCCGTTTGAGGAAATAAAGTCTGGAGGTGGCATAGCTCGAAAGAAACAGTCGCCAAACAGGGCGACGACCATAATGAGATGCGTTTGAGGCTGGTGTAGGCATGTTCATCGCTATGTTCTTTCGAAAGGGATTCCCAGAAGTTCACGACTGGTGTGTGTGGCCATACAACGTTGAGTGAGGCGACTGTTGGACTTGAAAGGTCTCCAGAAAAGCTTTGATTTTCACGGGCCTACACCAACGGTCCAGAAGCGAAGACTTCTTTGACGCTGTCTCAAATGCGTCGTGTCGTGTATGCAGAAGCACGATAGTGCGTGCAACAGGTCAGAATCAGAGGGTAGAGGTGCCACTTCGTGCCCCGAACCACTATTCAACCGTGGATATAAAGTCTATGACCGTCCACTGTGCTCCCAAGCCTTACTTATCAGACCTTTGAGTACAATAGTGGAACGGATTGAGCTCAAATACGGATGAGAGATCTGTCGTTATCGTTGGTGGAACATCGATAGAGCTTGATTCAGCCCCTGACAGGTTCTGGACCAGCGGTTCCAAAAGAGCCTGTATAGTCTCCTGATCCTGTCCCGGCATGCTGGTGGAGGGATCATCTTCCGTCCTGGTCGTTATTGTACCCCGCGTGTACATATCCTGGGATCGCAAGATGATGGGCAAACTCCCCAGATGCCCCCTGTTTCTGTCTGCGCAGGCCAACAGATGGAACAAGGCGCCAAAGATCGTGAATGGGTCTGGCTCGGTTTGTGGCGGCGTCATTTCGAGATCAAAGCACACGCGGTCAGCTGAGCGGGTACTCGCTGATCTCAAAGACTCCCAGCGCGCAGCCACGATACAGGACCAATACAGCACCGGTCGAGGATGGTGTGGTCGATGGAGCCCCAGTGTCAAGGCCATCCGACACGCAGACGCTGTCATCATGGACTGTTGGGAAAACCGGGGCGAGGCGAGCAGTAGGAGGAGCGACTGCAGTGTTGACAGTGTAGGGAGAGAAAGCAGCTCGTAGGCATCAAAGCATTCGTGGATGGATCGAGTGATGTCTTCGACTAGGGCGGTTGTACTATTGCTGGCGCCGGCCAAGTGAGCCGACACAAGACAGACTGAACGGAGTAAGAGCGGAGAAGGATAGGGATCCTGAATGAGTTCTCTCTCCCAAACAAGTGGCCAGTGAGGCGCGATCGCAGAGAAATATCTTTCAACCCCAGTCAGACAGAGAGTGATGGACCCCTGTTACCTCTGAAGACAACTTACCTGTCAAGAAGAGAAGCTATAACTGTCGAGGCTGTTGAGGGAAGATCGACTTTCCACGACGTCTCACTTCCGTCCTGATCATTTTGGATGGCTCGATGAGAGGTTGGCTGCTGGTCCTGCTCGAAGACACACTCTGTGCCCCTAGACACACAGGTTCTGCAAGGCGGTCCCCCCTCGCAACTGCGCTACATCGTCAGAGCAACGTCTCCGATGTGGACAGCTGCTTTCTTTTTCTGGACTTACCGTCGCTTGGACGAGCGACACTGTTGACAGGCTCTGCCTGTTCGCAAGCGCTTCATCTGCCTGTCTGCATCATTGAGGGAGTTAACCAGCACCAAGGGCGGATCAAAAGGTGGAAATGAACAGAACTTGAGAGAGTGTCTCGATGGGATCTGTGGAAGACCAGGTTGAAAGTTCGGTGACGACACTCAATCAGATTTGGGGGAAGCCCTAGAAGCCCAATAGGGGCGGTAGTTAGTACCCGAGGTGCCCAACACACACACCTAGATATAACCACCCAACCTAGAGGTGCCTATTACATGGACTGGTGGTGCTAGGTGCTGCCATTCAGATCAGCTGACCCTCGATCGACACCGTTGCTACCACCATCAACTCTTTCTTCTTCCACCAGTCCAACTTCACCAACTCTTCTGACGGCCGTTTTTCTCCTGTCCCCAAGTCCATGGCGCACCATATTTGCGACAACTGCCGCAGGTATGTCAATTTTCCCCATCTCGACATATGTAGGCTGAATTTCTCCTCAAGACTCAGGTTGAAATGCCAATTCGAACACCCTCCATATTTCACACTCTGTTGTACTCGATGTCGACAATACAGTCTTTCCTGCGAGTTCGAGGGTATTCCCTGGCCAGCACGGGCTCAGCGGACTTTCATTTCTTCTACCCCCAAAGGTTTTTCTCGAAAAGTCTACTGGGGCCCTTCAAGCAATGCCGGCGGGCATCCGATGGATCTCCACGCCGCAAAGGAACCACCACCTGAGCCAGCCATGTCACAGGCCCTGCACCCTCTGAAGTCTGCTGGCTTGACGACCGCCGATGAGCCAACAACGCTAGATCTCAGTCCAAACGTCAAGGAGCATCTTTACCTCGTCTTCTTTGAGCATATCCAGCCCGTGTTTCCCGTCGTCACCCATGCAAGTCTACGAGACTTTCCCGTCACGCCGCTGTTGGAAAGTGTGATACTTGGTATAGCCGCACGCCATCATCTTGCCATCGCTTCTTGGAGGGACTACGTTCACATACAGAAAATCATTGCACACGAGCTTAAGGTCCTCTTCAGTACACGGCACCCCTATCAGCCGAGGATTCAAACCGTACAGGCGCTTCTGCTCGTGTTGACAAAGTTTGAACTCGTCACACATGGCCATGGCGACATCATGTCCACCGGATTGAGACTTGGACTCCTCTGCAAGATGGCCAGGGATTTGGGATTAGACAAACCATCCTCGGTTGTGACAACCGACGGCGAACATCTCAACACGGTGTTGTGGAAGGGCTGCCTGTTTGAGGATGCGATCATTTCCGCCATGATGGGCCAACCTCTCAATCTCGTCGTGTCGCCCAAGGAAATCACGGCGCTACCGAACCGGTCCAACATCTCAGGAGAGATATTCTTTGGCGATGCTGTAGAGGCTTCTCACTGTCTCCGATCACTGCTCAGAGCAGTTTATGCAAGCCGACCTGTCGATGCGGATATCGTCCGGAACTGCGAACAGGTTCTCAAACAGATACATCGCTACGGAGCAGACCTGACTTTCCTACAACAACACCATTCCGAATGCGAATACAAAGCGCTTTGCATGTTGCACCATAACAACAGACTACTTTTTGTACTCGGACTTGCCTCCTTGACAAACACATCAAGTTACGCCCAAGAACTTTCCCCAATTCTCGCTCAGGAAGCTGCTTCGACCATTCCGCAGGCCTGCCAAACGCTTATGTGGTTCAGCGTAGACTTTTATCTCCAGATGGCTTCTCGACTGAACCAATTGCTATACTGCGCTTCACGAGCCTTGATGCTTGTTGTGGATGTCTTCCTTGAGGCTCAAAGGACACACAATTCTTCAAAGGAGTTTATCCACGAGCTCGAAAATGCTATTACATCAGCTACATTATTGAAGGATTTTCTACTCCAAGACACTTCCTGGGGTGCGCACTGGTCCCAAGGCCATACTCTTGCAGCTGTCCTTGCTCGGCTCCAGCAGACAGATTGTCACCATCGGCACATACCCGTTGAGCTGAAGAACGTTATTCGCTTCCGAACCCTTGACCAGGGCGATATTACTGATTCCGGGACCTTGGAGCCTCTGCGAAATACCGATGAAGCCTTGTACAGCGACGAGTTTCTCAACAACGTCCTTTTCAATTCCACAGACTGGGATTCCGTGTTGATGCACTACGAAGAGACTTATCCTCAGCCAATATGGTGATCTGAACTTTGTATCACAAGAGTTTGAGCCAGCACGCCAATGTAAATACTAGATACGTGGCCACCCCCAAATCGACACCAGCTCGATCCTCAAGAGGCCTTGGTGTCTTCCGTATGGATCGTCACCACTTCCTTTGTCTCCCCGCTGAGCTCAGCAGTGGTGATTACGCCGTGTTTTTCATACTCGATGTGACCACGGCACTGGTAGGTGCTGAAATCTTTCACAGAGACACCCTAGCAGATCGTCAGTAAACCACCCAACCTAAGTGATTATCCAGACTTACGTTCAAAAATAGCTCGTCAAGCTCCTCGAGAGAACGACCTTTTGTCTCTGGGAGGAAAAAGAGAGCCCAGACGAAACCGAGCAAGCATGTGACGCCGAATATGAATCCAACCTATATCCCATGTCAGGGGATACAAATATTGGAGGTCGAGTTGAGCTTACCTTTGCACCAAGATTTGCCGCTGTTGGGTTGATCAAGTATGGCAACACGACTGCTATGAGCAGGGTGCCAGCCCATGATACTGCAGAACCCAAAGCCTGAGTTCGGGAGCGCATCACATTGGATCCAATCTCTGATGCAACGATCCACGCGACAGGACCCCAGGACCACGTGAAAAAGAAGGCGTAGAGACAACTGAAGGCCACTAGACATCTTGCCGCAGCGACGCTATTGGGTGCAACAGTTCCAACGATTGCGAAGGTGAACATACAGATGGTCTCAGCAGCAGCCCCCCACAGGAGAATAGTCCTTCGACCGAGAAAGTGAACCGATGGAAACATGATGATAATGCCGGCTAGTTGACAGACTTGGGAGATGACGCTCACGACAAACGCGTTGGAGATACCTGACACCGAGTAGAAGTACGTCCCATACCTATGTCGGTGTAAGTGTCTAATCAAACCACGAGGGCAATACCATGTCATGGGGGAGTTACTCGTTAATGAAACTGATGCCTGACAAAACTTGCCACAAGAGTACGCCACAGGCGATATGAGTTCGTCGCCTATCGCTACCTTTAAAGGCATCCAAGAAAGAGCCGGAACCCTCAAGCTCCTTCTCGAGTCTGATATGTTTCGCGATATCGTCTACATCGGCGTGTATTTGATGCTCTGGATATTTCTTTCCGCGAAGCCTCCGGATGGACTTTGCACTTTCTTCCACCTTACCGACAGAGAGCAGCCAACCTGGTGCAGAGTTAGCCAGATTTCCGGCCTGCATATTCAAAGGTACCTACGTGGGCTTTCCGGGAAGAAGGAGGCAAAGACGATCAGGATGGTAGGGAAGACGAGCTGTGTGATGAGGGGAATTCTGTACGCCCATCTTGTCGACATCTTGTAAGTGCCTTGGTTGATGCAGGACCCTATGAGCTGACCAATGTTGATGCCAGTCTGGTACAAAGCGATCATCATCCCTCGCATTCGTGTTGGCGCGACTTCAGCTTGATATATCGGTACGAAACTGGTGCACACTCAGATGTTAGCAGTTCAACGCTATGAAGCCGGAAGGCGAAGTCAGGGACTTTGCAACCACTCCCAACAAAGCAACGAGACAAGTCTCACTTGGACGCATAACCAATGCCAGCTATCAACTTTTGTTAGTTGGTCTGCGCGACTGATGAGGGAAAGTCTTACCTCCAGCGAAGAAGCGGCCGAGGAGTAAACCCCATACATGAGGGACCGAGATCTGGAAGATGACGCCAACAACAGCGACGAGTCCCATCCATATCAGACCAAGTCTTCGCCCATATCTCGAACCAATAGGGCCTGCTGAGACTGAAGCAAGTGTGGCGCCAACAAGCAATACAGCATTCAAGGAGGTTTGTATCCGAGTTCGAATGTTGTACGCGTCCGTTTCTTCATCGAAGTATCCATAGTCCTTCAGAAAGCTTTGGTTGTCAGCATTCCAGTACCGCACAGACTCTGTGCAACTAACCTAACCATGGCTTGGAAGCCACCAAGCTCACCACTGTCTATGCCAAAAAGAAGAGAACCGCACATGACGAAGCAGCATATCAAAATGGTCTTGATTTTGCTACCCGAAGGCGATGCCATTGTATCTGTAGTTTCTGTGGTTCTCATTGTCAAAGTCTAGGTAAGCCCTCTGAGTGATTCTCGCAGGGCTCTTGTGGTCCATCCAAGCACGGGGATTTCGCAGCTTTTACACAGCGATTTATTGCAGTCGAGCAACAGAAAAATCGTGAGCATTTAGACCTTCTAAGTGCGGCTCGTCGGCGATGAACCGCAATCTCCTGACCAATGTCCTTCGCTTCCCCGGGTTTACCCCGTTTCGAATTGGGTGGCGTTACTCTTTCTGGCAAAGCCTTGCTCGTTGCTTGACAGTCTTGGGGTTCTTAGCTCGAGCCTCACGGTCCATCGCCGACCAACCGCAAAGTGCTCACCAATGGCGGTCACATTCTCAGACCCGAGTTGTTGTGCCGATGAGCTCGTGGCGTGCGACACTGTTGCTCTTGTGCGGTCCGTTGCCGACAAGCCGACCTCTACGTGGTGCGTTACTGGAAGGCCCACCGTTAGGGGGAGGCAGACTCTGGAGTGGACATGCTCACAATGACGAGTAGCAATACCAGCCAGTTATGTATAATTTCTTTTATCAAATCTCCCTGTCCTGCGTTGTCGTAAGCGGTGGTGTTCCGATTTCCCCTTTCCAATAGTCCAGGCACCATTGACACCGAGATACGAGCTATGGAGAACATATCACTCGACAATGTTCGAGAGAACTTCAGTTTCCGGGCCGAAGACGTTCAAATCAATGGGTTTATGTCGAAGCAGGGCGTGGCCAACTTTCTGGGTATTCCCTACGCCCAGTTTCCTGCTCGATTCCGAACAGCCAGGCGGGTCGACCTTGGTCTCCTCGATGGACAGCTGGATGCATCTCGATATGGACCTCGCTGTCCACAAAAGACCGACAACATCCACCCTATGATGCACCACATGTTTGAGAAATTGTCAATGTCGCAGAGGTGCGATGAGACCACTTGCCTACACCTCAATATATATGCTCCTCCACAGTCTGTGGGTGTTGCGGAGCACTCCAGATTGCCGGTGTTTGTATGGATACACGGGGGAGGTTTCAACAATGGTGATAACACGACTGAGTTTAGTGGGTACCAGCGCCTCAAGTTTGGTAATATGACATGCTGACCCCGAATACAGATGGCAACCACCTTGTGAGAAGGTCCATGGATCTTGGAAGGCCGATCGTCATTGTGACTCTCAATTACCGGCTGAACGTTTTTGGCTTTTTGAGCTCGAGGGAGATTGTACAAGAAGCAAAGTCGCTCGATGAAGTTCCCATCCTGAATCAAGGCCTCAATGACCAGCGTATTGGGCTTGAGTGGATTCAGAAGTCGATTCATCATTTTGGTGGAGACGCGTCAAAGGTCACTCTGTCCGGCGAGTCTGCCGGGGCTGCATCAGTCTGTTGCCATTTGAAAGGTGGCCACGCGCTCTTCCATCAGGCCCTGATCCAATCCAGCCCCAAGCCACGCTTGAGGTCGCTTGAGGAGGCACAGGCTACCTTCGATCAGCTTGTCGAATCGGCAGGCATAGCAAAAGATGCGTCAGACGCGGAGAAACTGGCGATGCTGCGGGCTTTGTCGGCAGATCGACTGGTCGAGTTGTTCGATGGCAGCGTGTCATTGCCCATCGAGGATCCCAACTGGTTTGAGTTGGCCACCTCTTGGGATAGTGTGCCACGGTGGTGTTCGAGGATCATCATGGGCCACACAAAGGACGAAGCAGCACTCTTTCTGACACCATTTCAGAATCTGCCGGATGCAGTGCTTGCGGAGCATGTGCGCAAACTTGCCCCGGAGCTGGTGGGGGACGCCCTGTTCTCTGGTGGTAAGGACGCTTTACATGCTCTTACGGAATGGGCGACTGAAGAGACATTTGTACGACCGACGATGGATATGCTCTCGGACGCCGCAGAGCAGGGCACCACCGTCTACGCATATGAAATCTCCGTCGTTGATCCTTTCCCGGGTCCTCTGCATGGGTACGCGTGGCACTCGTTTGGAGTATCATTGACCTTTTACGAGCCTTCAGCCCGAGTCTATCCCCAGATCAAAGCGACACAGGATAAAATGTCCGAGGCGTACGTCGCTTTCTTTCACGGTCTCGAGCCATGGGAGGCGTTTAACGTTGCAAAGCGAAAGATGTGCTGGGACGGTGAGCAGACTCGCTTGGTGGACTGTGTGGTGGTGGAAACGAGGGAGAAAGAGGACAAGGCGCCGGATCTGCCGTGCAGGACATCTGCAGAGGCGGGCATGGGGATTATCGCTGCGGCCTTGAAGATGCAGACGTCTTAGTCGGTGATGAACTGGTGATACTGGCCTACGTGTATGTGTTGGATCTTAACATGTGCTGGTGGTGTGTGCATTTCACCCTCTTCCCACGTGAATCTTCAAGAGCTTGATCTCCCTTGCATTAAAGCTGGCGTGGCAATAGCAACGTATATCTCTCTCTCTCTCTCTCTCTGAGAGAGTCTCCAGTAAGGGACGGGTTGTGGACGGGTTCGTGCGGCCAAGCAGTGACAGTGGCGGTACAGATTTCCATCTTGGATACCTACTCTCTTCTTCAACCGCAGGAGGAATGGCCCTTGGCTAGCAGCCGGACCTTGGACGGGGACAGAGATCTAGATGTATTCGTCTCCCGTGCGATACATGCAGCCTGACAGGTCCATGATTCTATAATCCCATATCCTATGACCGTTTAAGTGTGTTTGAAGCCACTGGATGATTTTGGGGGATATGGTGAGATTATTGAATCTGTATACATGGTCATATGAGGTTTGTGTAGATTAAATGGTGTGTGGTGGTTGTGGTTGTTATTATTGTTGTCGTGATGCATTATGTATGTTTTATTTTATTTTCCAGATACACGAAAATTAAAATCCCTTCCCTCCCACACCACTCACCCATCCTCCATCTATCACCATTAAACCTATCAACCACCAAACAACTCAACCTGTATTTTTTTTTTTTTTTTTTTTTTTTTTAATCACAAATACATAACACTGTCCGTAGGAAAACGTATCATGGGGACGATACACTCAGACCGTGCGGCACACTCATCAGGCCTTTTTTTTTTTCCAGCTCAAAAAATGGTCAATGTCAATGTCACCAATGTAACTTATTCGTCGGGATGCAGCATGACCGGTCGTGCGTTCGACTGCAATGTGAACCCCCCGATCTACATATCTCACGCATCCGGCATTTCCGGCGACGAGCGATCTATTTACTACGTGTGAGGTAGGTACAAAGTACGAGTATGTATGCATGTACGAGACAGAGAGAGAGCGAGAGAGAGCGAGAGATGAGTCCTCTCTAGGGCAAGAAGAGACTGACAAGGCTACTTGTCCTCCCACGAAGCCTACAAAAGCAATCCGAGCACAGCCCTCCCGACAGCGGACTAATTCAAACAGTTGTCTGTCGTTGGTGTCGGTCGTGTCGGTCCAATAACGACGACAATGACCTTGTCGGACTGATTCCATCAGGACTGCTTCTGCTCTTGTCCCCACACCACACCCAGGTTATCCATCACAACATCCACCCTCAACTGGACCGGACTGGATAGGAGAAGAAGAGATTTCCTTGTCCTCGTAAATAAGTCGAGCTGCGCTACAACTTCCGGTCAGTTCCAGCAATAACGAATCCTTTCTCCGTGAGCGACCATGGAGGCGCCAAAAGACACGAGATCCAGCCGACCAGCAGACTAGTTCTACCGGATCCGAGTCCTCCCAATTGGTCAGGGATGCACTCCTAGATAGGCAATCAAGCTGGTCTCCAGGCAGGAACTTGGCTGTGTTTGGGAATAATACGGCAACCAAGACAGACGCGCACCATCCTCAGCAAGTGCATGGCCTATGCACAAGCTGGTCTGGCTTCAGGACCTCAGGAAAACAATAGAGACATTGGAATTTGTTACTCATAGATTCGACTGCGCACCCAGGACAGAGGTGCTGAATGTCCACCCAGTGCCCATCATCCCTGCTCAATGCATCTCGCAAACAAAGCGTGCTTCTGAATTTTCCGAGTTTTGTACAATCCATTCCCACGTAGGCTACCACCACGTAGTGACGCTTCAGGAGATTATGCCAAAAGCATCTTCCGCGGGTCTTCTATGTATTCCTACCATTCATGTTAGACACAGTGACACACAACATAGCATCAATACTTACCTTGATCTTCACCAAGAACGTGACCGCCTCTCTTCCATCCAGCAGGCGATGGTCGTAGGTCAGGGCAAGATACATCATCTAGCCAACTTTAGCATTTGGCACTCTCCACGTAGGTGTAGGGAACTTACTGGTCTGATCTCGATCTTGCCATTGACAACCACCGCTCGGTCCTTAATAGCATGTAGCCCGAGCACTGCGGTCTGAGGCAGATTGATAATGGGAGTTCCCATCATCGACCCAAAGACACCGCCGTTGCTGATGGTGTAGGTACCTCCGGCCATATCTTCAATAGAGAGCTTTCCATCGCGAGCCTACGTCTCGAAGTCAGAATCAGCCATAACCACAGCGTGCGGGCTACTCACCTTCTTGCCCAAATCTGCAATGGACTTCTCGATCTCAATCATTTCCATGCTCTCTGCATTTCGGACTACAGGTGTCACCAAGCCTTTGGGCGTTGCTACTGCAACGCTGATGTCCACAAAATCCCTGTACACAATGGTGTCGCCACCACCGGGACCTTCAATAGAAGCGTTGACAGTGGGCACTTCTCTCATGGCCAGAATGCTAGCTTTGGCAAAGGCACTCATGAAGCCAAGCTTGACGCCGGTATTCTTCAGGATCTCATCCTTGTACTTCTTCCGGAACTCCATAATGTTGGACATGTCCACTTCGTTGAACGTGGTTAGCGAAGCAGCAGTGTTCTGGGACTGCTTGAGACGCTCTGCAATTCGCAGACGCATGCGGTTCATTTTGACCTGGTCCACGTTAGCCTTCATAGAGGGGACATTGCCATATGCCTGCCTACCCTGTTCTCGTTTCTTGTGCCTTTGCCGAATGGCGACTCAATTCCAGCTTTTGACTCATCTGGTTTCTTCGCCTCTTTGGGAGGCGGCGAAGACTTCTTCTCTTCCTTGGGTGGAGCGGGCTTTTCTTCCTTCTTGGGCGGAGGGGGAGGGGCCTCTTCTTTCTTCGGCTCCTCCTTTTTTGGCTCAGGATCTGAGCTCGTGGGTTGTTCTTTTGAAGCAGGCTCCTTGGGCTCTTCCTTTGCTTCTTTGGCGCCTCCACCGCCTCCTCCACCAGGTTCGAGCTTCGCAATTTCCTGCCCGACTGTCACAGTGTCTCCCTCATTGACGAGAAACTCCTTTATTGTGCCAGCTTCCGGAGCATTGACCGAGACATCGATCTTGTCCGTCTCGATAGACGCAATCTCCTCATCTTGCTCGACGTAATCCCCGATTTGTTTTGTGAAACTGCTGAGCGTACCTTCAGAAATGGATTCGGCCATCTGGGGCACTTTGACAATCGTCTCATAGCGGGTAGGCGAGGTACTAAACTGCTGGTACCGCGCCAGGGAGGCGAACGTAGGCGCAATCGACGGCCGTAAGCTCGAGACGCAGATTTGTCGGGGTGTAGGTTTCGATCTGAGAACACTAAAAGTGCGGGTGCGTAAAGACGCACCACACTTTGGGAGTGCAAGCGCAGAGCCCAAGGCTGGCGTCCGTCGAAGCCGGAGAGAGGCCATGTTGGAAAGTTGGTCCGGCGAGCGTAGTACAGCAACACAACGAGGGTAATCGATGCTCCAGAGAGCGAAGGAGCTCAAGGCTGTAGCATGCGAGGCGGGGGGACCGCCGCTTGGTATAGAAGAGAATGAGAGGAAGGACAGAGAAGTAAAGGTACTTCCTGACTGTAATGTTGTCACCTCGAAAAGAAAAGAGGCGGAGAGGGATCGACCTCTTGATTTTGTAGACCTGGGAAGGGAAAGCTCTTTCCGAGCTCTAATTGGACTGTGCTGGGCATACGCAGTGACTGACGTCCGGATGGAAAAGTCGCGCAGGCGGAATTGGGCCATTGGGCCAGATGCTCCACCCTTGCTGCCACTGGAACTGTAGCCCGAGACGAGGCAGCAGTGAGAACCGGCAATAGCTTGGACGCCAAGCCTGCGCAAGGTGCCAACTGCATCTCCAATCGACTCATCTCCATTACACACTCAACGAGAGGTCTTCAGCAAGACGTCAAGCCATCGACATAAACACAGAAGCGTCAGGCCGGAGATCTGGGGACGCAGCTGACCCGTGCACGACTTCTCCGTGGGCGTCTCTTTTCGGTTATTGACTGAGCGAGAGTGTGGGGAGGAACCTAGGGCTCTCCAGCATGGCAACTCTCAGTCCTCACGTCAAGGCTGTCCGGTGAGTGATTTGAAGGACAAAGAGCCACATATTGTCTGCCCACTTGCTCACTCAATCGCCATCAGAAACCTTTACCGGCGGTCGCTGAAGCTTGCGCTTGACTGGGCCGTGCAACGAAACCTCTGGCGCGGCCAAGCAGTATATATCCGGTCACTCTTTGATGCCAACAGAAATATCACAGATCCAAGACAACAAAGAGTACGCAGATGGCCTCTTGCACATGAACCTATTCTTCGAGCTCAGAACACCAGGCTGACCTGTGGTGGAACCAGATCCTCTTTAATGAGACGGAAAAACTGCTACGGAAATGGAAGCACCCCGACCCTTACAGACCACCAACTGCCCCAGGAGGTGAGATTGCCCACACCATTTGTGCAGTACAGTGGCTCATCTGTCGTGTTTACAGGCTCGAAATATGAACGGAATCTACCAGCCCCAGACTTGCCGCCACCATCGAGAGAGTTTGTCAAGAGGTTATGAGGTGGTTTGTCGTGTCATTGATGGATAGGTGGAGAACTTGTACATACTGTCGCAAAGAGCGGAAGAAACACTTAGTTCACCGCAAAGGTTGATTTGCAAAAAAGAGCTCTAGAGAGCTTGAACCTTCAGTGTCCCTCTCCGATCCTATTTCTCGAGAACTCATGTGCCAAAACCGTTTGTGGAAACCAACCGATCTATGCTCTATTGCTGGTCACTTGCACTGCTATTTCCCGAGAATTCGTGTTCACATGGATCGTTCAATCATGGGCATACCCGAACGCGTTAAGATCTAGTGTTTTGTTTACCTGGTCCGAGTGCAATCTGCATGTCAACCCGCGAATTTGGCCACGCGTTATCAAGAGTTCCTTCATTTGCGCTCTGCTTCTTGCGCCCACGAAGACAAACGAGAATGGAAACAGGTTTGTGATGAATTGCCATTGAGTTTCGATCATTAAATTTGCTGTCTAATGATCACCATTTGCAAAGCCATTCGCTTTGCCATTTGCATGTCTCATGCCCCGTCTTGCATTCCTATCCATGTTCGTGATGATAGTAGGTATGCCATGAGCATAATGTACACAACCCTGCCGTCCGATGATAAAGCACAAACTCTGAAAACAAGGCCTGTGAAACCTGGCCAGCCCAACCCCTGAAACCCCGCGTTGTGATCGCATTTGTCGTGAAACTCCCATTCAAAACCCAGTTCAGAAGAAATTTGCAGAACGAGCTTACAGCTCTTGGCTGGGGTTCTTGCCCTTGGCGGTCTTCTTTGGTAGCAAGTCTGTGATAGTCAGTATGGGCAAGTCTTGTGGAATCTCGTGTAGGCAGAAACGTACTTTGGTGGATGTTGGGCAAGACACCACCCTGGGCAATTGTGACGTGTCCCAGCAGCTTGTTCAACTCCTCGTCGTTTCGGATGGCCAATTGAAGATGACGAGGGATGATACGGGTCTTCTTGTTGTCACGAGCGGCGTTGCCGGCAAGTTCGAGGATTTCGGCCGCAAGATATTCAAGCACGGCAGCAAGGTAGACCGGAGCACCGGCACCAACACGCTGAGCATAGTTGCCCTTCCGCAGGAGACGGTGGACACGGCCGACAGGGAATGCGAGACCCGCCTTGGAGGATCGGCTGCGGTATAGTTAGCATCATGGTTCAACAGTTTCGACATGGCAAAGGCCACAACCAGATGCCACAGACCGAATCTAGAGTGATGCGACAAGTTTGGAAGGGTGATAAACTTACGATTGAGCGCTCTTGCCGCCAGAGGCTTTGCCGCCAGATTTTCCGCCAGTCATTTTGATTGAGTGGATGGGATTGGGATTGGTTTGAAAAGTTGGAGTTTGTGAAATGAAGTGAAGATGGAAAGCTGGTGCAGAGTGTGCGATGGAAACTTGGGTTGACGATGGATGAAAAGAGAGAAGGAAGCGATGATTAAAGGCGGGAGGGAAGGGCAGTTATAAAGGAGTGAGGATAGGCGGCGATGCGGGTGGTGGGCAGTTGAGTCGCGCCTCCAGATCAACCTTGGAGAACTTGTGATGAAAGGTGCAGCGGGAGAGGAGTGCGCTAGATCACGGAGCCCGGATTGGGCCAATCGTGGCGCGAGGGAGGGAATGATCAAAAATGACTTTTCTGATGAGTTTGACAATACGAGTCAGCATTACATCGCGTTACCATATCTTTCTGCCAAGAGTTGTGATCCTGCAATGTGACTGGATCAAAAACTGGCAAAATCGACACAATAACAATACGCTGGGAAAATCGCGCAATTTGTTACCCGGATCAACCCCTTGGAGTCGACCGCCTGCGTCTGCCACTTCGCATCAACCCGCGCCCTCCCTCTCGCACTTGCGCCTGGTATAAGAGTCGCCGTCACCCACCTTTCACACTTCCATCTTTCCTTCCTTCTTCATCCATCCATCAATCATCCCGCTCATACGCCTCCATCAGTCAATTTCATCTCACTTACTACTTTCATCCATCGTCGCTTTTTGCGCAATCAATTCAATCACCAAAAATGCCTCCAAAAGCTGCTGAGAAGAAGCCCACCACTGGCGGCAAGGCCCCAGCTGGAAAGGCTCCCGCTGCCGAGAAGAAGGAAGCTGGCAAGAAGACTGCCGCCGCTCCCTCTGGTGACAAGAAGAAGCGAGGCAAGACACGAAAGGAGACCTACTCTTCATACATCTACAAAGGTGAGATTTCAATCCTTCGCGCGAATCGCTTCATTGTTCAGTACTGACGCGTCTCTTCAGTCCTGAAGCAAGTCCACCCTGACACTGGTATCTCCAACCGCGCCATGTCCATCCTGAACTCTTTCGTCAACGGTAAGTCACTTCGTGCTCCGCAATTCGATACCTACTCTAACGTTTACCTCAGACATCTTTGAGCGCGTCGCCACCGAAGCCTCCAAGCTTGCTGCTTACAACAAGAAGTCCACAATCTCGTCCCGCGAGATCCAAACATCCGTCAGATTGATCCTGCCGGGTGAACTTGCCAAGCATGCCGTGTCTGAGGGTACCAAGGCCGTCACCAAATATTCTTCTCAAAGCAAGTAATTGGGTTTCAATATTCATGGGGATGGTTGATTCTTGGGCTTTTGCGCGTGTTTTTTGCAAATGGGGTTGTGGGCACAAATGGAACAACGGTGTTGAAATGGGTTTTTGATCAACACATTACGATGCGTCATGGGAATCGGGGATTATTGACAATGTGATGAGCTGTCCACGGTCATGCTTGCTCATCAACAGCAATCATGCTTTACGAGTCTCTACAGAGAGAAGCTTTCGCGTTATGTACAATATTCACCACGCTGAAGCCTGAAGTTTCAGAGGTTCAGTTCTTGCTGGATTTGTGAGACATTCGAATTGAAAGCATGAAATCAAACTGTTCAGTCTCTTCGATCTTTGTTTTTGTCTTCGGCGCACTGGAATTACTAGCATGAAATTACGAGGGTCAGGATACCAGGACTCGTTGTTTTGGTACGCGTTCTTTGGGGTTGCGCGCTAGAGGCGCCACAAAATAGACATGAACCACGTGAACGTAAACAGGGCCTGTTGCCCACGGCGTTTCTCTGCAATGTCCAGGGACAGTTTGGTGATCGCACGGTCAAGAAAGCAAAACATTCGTCTTGTTGTTCGTGAACAGCTGCCCGAACAGGCGGAGATGCTTGTCTCTCCGAGCACGACCAGATTGATCCAAATTCAGGTCCCAACCAGCAAAAACGCCGATAAGATTGACAACACTCCCCTTTCGTATAGATAGTCTTTGCCCAATGCCCATTTCCTGACAGGCCAGATACTCCAAAGCCCCCGGTAGTCGTTAGCCATATTAGTAGTGATACTCTTTGTTTGTCTCTTGTCACGCGTAGCGTCGTACTCATCATCGCACAGGTAACACGTCTTTCTGCAGCCAGAGGACCTTGACAGTGTCTTTCCCTTGCCACAGGACCGTCAACCTTGGATTTTGACGGGATCTTGCGAGCTAGCGAGTCCAATATGGACTGGATCGCTTTGCACCTCTCCTGCCACTTGGCGGTCGACTTTGATACCATCCTCGTCTCCCTCGCCCTCGGGTTTGGCTTGATCACAATCTTTCCCCGTGACAGTCACCGTCTCGTCATCCTCATCCTCGTCATCGAATGTCTGCACCTCATCCACAGCCTCCTTCCTCTCGCTTGTTTCGCCAGGCACCGGCGGCTCCTTGTCAAAGACAGACACAATCGCCTTGCCTTTGACCTCTTTTATCCTTCTTTTCCAGTCCTCCCAATCTTGTTCGTCCTTGATGAGAAAACCGATAAGCATAGAGGGATCCATCTCACTTATTCTTAACCCTCGAAGACGGCGCGTATGGCATGTGGAGATTTCTTCCTCGGTGTATTCGCTTGGGTCAGAGTGATGCTGCAGGGCTGGGCGTGTCTCATGAGGGTCGAGGTAGAAGAAGAGGTCCCCTTGACACCCGATGAAGTAATGTGAGGAGGACGGCCGGCCACCCGCGATCCCAATTGACTGAGGATATGTGAGGCTGCTTTTGAGGGCTTCGTGATAGACCGGTGTAATTCGGTCCAGTCCCAGCCTAATTCCCAGAAGTATCAATGTAGGTCTGATAGTCAAATCAGTAGCGGAGGCGCGTGCGATGCTGCGGAACTTGTCTTCATAAACTTCGCTCGCGGATGGGGTCACGTAGACTCGTAGACCTGCGGCAGCACACTCGGCGGAGAGCTCTTTGATGCATGATGCTGTGGCAGAAGGCCCAAACCACTGGCCTGGATGTGTGCCGCAGGCGGATGCGCCGTGCTGGACGAAACGGTGAATGGAAAATGGGGCGAGGGGGGAGTCGGCGAAGAGAGAAAGGATAGAGGCCTCACTTTGTGTCTGGGTGACGGGAGGCGAGTTGAGGCAGTGGCCATTTGGAGGAGACACAGTACGGTTGGTATATGTGTGAGGTCGCCGCCAGTCCCGCCCCAGATGGAGCATAACCAGAGCGTTTGCCAAAAGAGATTGTCCTGAGCGGATCATACATCCCCAACCTGTATCGCTACTGAAGCCATCTCTCTCGGCAAAATTGCGCAGGCGAACGGAAAAGGATAAGGACATAGTGGAACCGGGCTCTTGCGAGCGAGGGATAGGCGTAAAGTTGGAACGATAGGTCATCCATATCCGAGATTCGAAGTCATCGAGAAACGCGATGGGCCACCCTCGATCGGAAGGGTCATTCGACAGTGACGGGAGATTGTTTCCTCCCGTGACATGCTGGGCATCATCAAAACTGCTTGTATTGTGTGATAGAGATTCATGAGGTTGCTGTTGTGTGGGTTGATCTGCCGTCGATGACAGAGCGCTCGTATCAGAAGGGTCATGGGAATCTGACGAGGACTCGACTTCAACCACATCGTCGTGGTCCGTTGTTGTTACCGGCTTGGGCGGTGCAGCCTGGTACTCTTCTCCAAGCAGCCATATTGAGGCGCCTGACATGTCATCATATTTTGGTGGAGGGTCATAGAAGTAGCGCACGAAGCGCTTAACGTCGACGCCATTCATGACGTCTTGGGCTTGGAATGGGAGAGGAATGCTCTGAAGCCCGGAGGATATTGCATATAGGAGAGCACCGAACGGCGTCAGTGCCTGAGTAGGAAACTGGTTCGTTGGTTCCAGCAGAACTAGAGAGTCATCCAACTTCTGCTTGAACTCAGGGAGGATCGGTGACGAGTCTTGTGATTTGGAGGAGTGCAGGGATGCAAACAGAACTCGGAGGGATTCCAGGTTGTCGAGGACTAGGCAGTCAGCTTGTGCAAGCAAAGGTTTCTTCGACAATACCAATGATAGTATGTGGTACACTGAAGCTGTTGCTGGATCGTGGCACGAATGTAGGTGCAAGGTGCGAGGTGCGAGGTGACTTTCACCGCAGTCAAGGGTGCAGGCCTACGGAGGATACACACGGACGTCAGCCTTGCTAGGAGGCATCACCAGGCCAGGCTCGATTCGGGGTGGAGTCGCTTGGAAGATCGGCTTGAGAGCCACCATGGCTGTAGGTGAAGTGTGACTGGTGGAACTTGCGGGCGCATTTTCCTGTGATCGCTCCCTCCACCTGGGACGGCACCCCCAAGTCTTCTTTGAGCGCTGAAACATGACTCTACACCTGTATGTATGATCCACATCGCCACTCGTTGAGTAGATTGCTGGTATTCAATATTCTGCATTTCTATCCTGTTGACTCTTATAATGTTCACTTCTAAGTAACACTCATTGACGGAAATTCACTGTTGGAAGCGGGGCAACTCGCTTGGTTGTGGCACCCCGCTCACCATGGGTCCTCGTCAACGAGCGCAGGCCAGAAAGAAACGGAATGGAGGACAGCAGAATCACTCCCCGTCGACGTGGCAGCACAGCCAGTCTGCTTTCCCTAATAGAGGTACTACAGGCGTGAGGCTTTACCTTCCTTTTGAATTCTAACGAGACGAGCTAGGACCCAATGCCTCCCACCGTAGTCTTGTCAACGACTGGCAGGACTTCTCAGACTTGAATTCTTCCGACCCCCCGAAGTCGATTCTGAGCATGGCTCAAACGGCGAGAAATACCGAGCGCCATGCTATGTCCTGGGCTTCTACACGCCTCAGAGAGCAGAGAATCACGTTCATAAGTGCCGGAGATCTGAAACAAGACGATATAGCTGCGGTCACGAAAGAGAATGAACAATCCCAGAAGGAGGCAGTATCATCTGAAGAACCCTCTCACAATGATGAGCAAGCTCAACCCAAGGAGCTTGAATCACACGCGTCAGGGAACGAACAGTCAAAGAATCACAATCCGACCCCAGTCGAGTTGAGTGTAGGGGAGCCCCGGGTAAGGAAAGACTCGATCTCGTCGCAATCTTCCGAAGAGATCATTTTCGCCGGACGACAGAACCGTCCAGCGAAGCCGGCCATCCCTCCCAGCTCAGAGACCACAGTGTCTACCAAGCCCGCAGTTGTCGAGCCAAGACCTTCACCTCATACTTCTCCTGCGGCCGCAGGGGCGACCACTCGTGATTCCAGCTCCTCTGGCCTGGACAAGTTCAACAATATTCTGCCGCCACGACGGAACGAAGCTGTTGACCGCCGTGGTCGTGCTCGCGGTCGACCAGGAAGCCTTCAGAGAAAGGAAGAGGAAGAAGCTATCATCAATGACTACATTGCAAACCTAGCGGTCGATGACAGCGACGAGGACAAGATTCCTGAGACCAAGCATTCGGTCAAGATTGGAAGGAGAACTGAACATTTCCGGTTCTTTGACGGCCCGGTCGAGCAAAAGGTCCACCTGCGAACTTCAAAAACAAGTAAAGCTGCTAGAGGATCTATCGATGTCGACCAAGCGATTGATTGGAACTCTAGTGATCTGCAAGATTTCGATGATTTCAGCACCACTGATGAGGAAATCGTCGAGGTCAGGCATGTTCTACGACATCGTACACGTCCCAGTGGTCCACAATACCTCGTCAGCGCACTTGGCAAAGACTCGAGCGATCCTCGCTGGGTGCCTCACGCAAAGTTGAAGTCGACGTCTGCTGTTGATGAGATCCGCATCTTTGAGGAGATTCGGGCCATGAAAATCCAAGAGACTACGAATGACTCGACCCACTCCGAATCATCAGAGGCCGACGAGTTTTTAGATGATGTTGATGATGATATGGAATCTGAGATGGATGAAAATGACCGCATACTAGAGCGCACCGCTCGGATGACAGACGAGCAGATTGCTCGGACGTTAGCAAAGCAGGAAGAGTTAGGCATGGGTGGCGACGAGCTGCTCTTGTTTGATGGGCAAGTTGAGGATGACGACAAGATCGATGACGAGGACGAGGACGAGGACGAAGATGATGAGTTTGCAGCTGGCGATGGGTTCATTCCTTTTTCTTCGAAGAAGCATATTTCCAGCCGCGTCAAGTCAAAGAAAAATCGACGCGAGCGCGACACTTTCCCATCTGCCACGGCTTTCGCGGATGCCCTTGAGCAGGATCCATACGGCGCGTTCGACGTCATGGATTTTGACCGACCCAGTCTCCGACCTAAGAAGAAGGGACGCAAGTCGGACTTGCCTTTCGACCTCGGCGTGGAGGATGAGGAGCTTGCTGAGCGACTGCGAAGTACCTGGAACAAAGACCGCGAAAAGAAGGCGTCTCGCAAGCGCGAGAAGCTGTTGGAGCGTGAGGCGGCTCTTTTGGAGGCATCCGAACGCAATCACCCGGCCGCCATCAAAGCAGAAATCCGACAGTTTCTGATTGAAGAAGTTAACACGTTGGAATTGGCCCCAATGGACTCAGCAACTCGTGCTTCCGTCCATCGGCTTGCAAAGTCGCTCAAGCTGCAGTCAAAGTCGGAGGGCAAGGAGGGCCATGGTATCGGGCGCTACCCTGTTCTCACCAAAGGTCCGCATACCCCGAGATACACGATTGACACGGTTTGGGAGATCGATGCCTTGATGAGCCTAAGAAAGTTCTTCCCGAAACGCCCAATCAGTTCGTACAAATCTCGTGGCACTCCCACATCAGGCGCTGCGAGAACAAAGAGAGGTGGTGGCGGAGTCATATCTGGTGCGACGTACATGAATGGTGACGTTGTCGGTGCTTCTGCCCCGGAGCTCGGCGCTGACAACAAAGGACGAGCGATGCTAGAGAAAATGGGCTGGGTAGAAGGCGTCGGACTGGGTGCTGTTGGAAACAAGGGCAGTCTCGAGGCAATCAAGCATGTCGTCAAGACCACAAGAGCTGGACTGGGTTGAATACTGGGTGGATTATCCGTGACTGGGGTACGTGCTGCTGTCTATTCCCGTGCTGAGATTATGTGCGGAGCACCGTTCAAGAGTATCTGCCCGGGGCCTAGCCTCGAAGAAGATCGAATGAATAATTCGTGTTGGATGGTTAGGGTGGGTGGGAAACCGGGTGATTGGCCACACGGTAGGATTCCGAGTACGAGGGACTAATTCAAGTAGTATTCCAAACACCAGCCAATAGAGCAGCTGAGAATACGGTCGCTTTCCGTTTTGGGAACATGTCCAGGTGCGAATGCCACAAACACATTGAACTTTAGCGAAGATCTTGCAGACACTCGAAGCTTCAATCACCGTATTGCAAGGCATAAATCGATCCCGACAACTTCTGAGAGGCATGTCGTCCTCCCAGAAACCTGCACCGCGCATCGACAGACTGAGCTTCGACCCTCCGCCATGAACGTTGTAATTGTCGGGGCTGGCATTGCTGGTCTAGCCTCATCACTGGCTCTCACTAAATGGCTACCTGAAACGCCACACATTACCGTTGTTGAGATTCGCCCACAGCCTTCAACGATCGGCGGCGCTGTTGGATTGACGCCAAATGCCCTGCGCTGCCTGCACCACTTGGGGGTGTTGCCACGAATCCGGGCAAAGAGTTTGGGGACTGGCATAGACAAGATCGAATTGTTCACAATCTATACCGGCGCCAGACTCGGCGAGATAAACTTCGAGGGTCAGAATGGGGGTGGGGTTGGGCAGCCTGCGTTCAAAGGTCTCAGGATCCTGCGCGCAGACTTGGTCGAGTCACTTACAGACACGGTCAGGGAACTCGATAACGTCAAGTTGGTGTATGGCCACAACCCGGTCCAGATTGTCGAAATGGAGAATGAGGTGACGGTCCAGCTGGATGACGGTGCAACCCTGAGCGCGGACCTACTTCTCGGGTGCGATGGGATACATTCCTTTGTCAGAACCAGCCTTGTCGACACGGAGAGAAGACAGCTGTACACTGGGATAGCCGCAGTGTTTGGGTTTGCAGAGTTAGAGGACGGAGCAAAAATTCCTTGGAAAGACACGGGGTTGTGCCAGTCACAACGCGGCAGTCTCATGACCACCTACTACGAGCCGACGAGGAAGAAACAGTTTGTGGCAGCCATCACCGAGACCGCGGACGTTGCATCGAGAGAAGGGTGGCTGGCTCGTGGTGCAGAACAGGAGAGAATCAAGCAGGACATCAAAAGTCGATTCGGTGGTGGCGCCCTGAAATTCCTCGATCCTATCATCTCAGCAACGGATCACTGGACCCTCTATCCCGTGTATCAACTCGCACCACGGGGCAATTGGTGCTCAAAACACACAATCCTATTGGGAGATGCCGCACATGCAATGTCCCCTCAGGGCGAGAGCACGGCATATGCGTTGGAAGACGCCATTTTGTTCGCCAGAGTCTTGGGATCCAGATCTGATAGAGGACTGGACGAAGTTTTCCGTGCATATCAAAGTGTTAGAAGGGTCAACATCGATAGAGCCTACGACGAGGCCAACTTTGGATGGGGAACACAAAGCGACTGCGGCTGGTTCGCGTTCTTGCTAAGAAGCTGGATGACGACGGCTTATTTGTGGTGGACCGCTTCCGCCAGGCAAAAAAGATACTGTGAAGACGTCGCTACCATGTCCCTGGACTAGTATTACGGTTGTCGTTGGCCCTGGTTGGGTTATTCCCGGGACGTTGAACACAAGGGAGTAAGCTGGTTGTTATACCGACTGCACAACGCTTGCACAGATATGAGGTATGTTGGCCAGGATCTCCATCAGCTTATCGACCAAATTATCAGCAAACTCAGACCACGGATGGGATCGAGTTTCAGGATAGATTTGACCGAGGAGACCAGGGATTGGTGGATCTGGCCCAGTTGGAAGCGTTGGCCTCTAGCCAGATCTTGTGTTGAGAATCCGTCTGCGGCGTCTGGAGTCTCAGCCTTGGACTAGGCGGTATATGGGTCGCCATGTTTCAGGACAGGGATTCATGCCTCCTGGAGATTTAAGGACAAATCAGCAATGCTCCTTGTCCGTGTAAACTCCCACCACCCCAATCTCTTTTGTTCAGATTACCTTGGGTCAACGACATGGTTGAGCTTGATCGTAACTCTTGTTTTGGGCTAGGTCAACCGAACAACGTGTTGCCACAACGCCATCGCTTGAGATGAAGCGACGCCAGAAGTTCGGCACAACATTCCGACCCCATGTATAGATATTGCCAGGATCTCTCAACAGTACTCGGTACATATATAATGCTCTCGCCTTCCATCCTTCCTGTTCACAAACTCTTCCCAAGCTGACACCAGCCTGCCGTTCTTTACTCTCGTCGATCGAGGTCCGTTCGTTCCTTCCGTGCCCAGGTGCCTTTTCACGTTATTGTCTATTCTATATCATCTGCTCCGACACTCTTCAGAAGCTTGAGCATCCTTCATATTGGTGTTAACAGCAAACATGCGTCAAAATATCATCATTTTGTCTGTTCTCCCGTGCATCGCACTGGCGTGTCCGGCACCCAGCTCTACTGCCACACAGGGCCCTTGGGAGCAGTGTATGTATCCAAAGTCGTTCCATTGACGCATAATACTCACATTCACCAGGTGGCGGTATCAACTGGACCGGTGGCACGACTTGCGCCTCAGGCTGGACCTGTGTCGAGCAGAACCCATATTACTCCCAATGCCTGCAAGCCAGCAACACTCCCCCACCTTCACCACCGGTCGTTGAGCCTGTCACACCCAGCTCGTCTCCAGCCAGCACCCCAACGAGTGTCAGCAACCCAGCAACTTCCACCAGCCCAGCCTCCCCCGGCAGTGGTCTTACTTACAAAGCATCTTTCACTCACTACGGTGCCGGCGACACGTTTGGCTCCCCGAACTGCAACACGAATACAGCCGCCTGTTTCTTCTACACCTTCCCCGGCTTCAGTGCGGCAGTGTCCCAAAACCTCTATGGTGCTGGACCGGGTCAAGGCCAGGGTCCTGCTTGTGGGACATGCTGGAAGCTGGTTGGAGAGACGGACTCATCGGGAAACCGCCTCAGCAATGCAGGAACGAGCATCGTGGTCATGATCAACAACCTGTGCCCGGCCGATGGCAATCCGCTGTGTGCTCAGAATGGTCTATCGGGGACGAATCAATATGGTGCAAACGTCAACTTTGACCTCTGCAGTGACAGCGGAGCTTCGGAAGCATTCTTTGGGAACAGTGGCGTGGGTCTTGCAGTTGGTTCTGCCACGCAGGTCGATTGTTCCGAGTGGTCTGGGACTATTGTCCATTAGATGGGCAGATTTTGGTGTAGGGCGCCATTCTTTTCTCCAGCTGTGAGCTCGGTCAGGCTCCGAGGACTCTAGCTAGCCTTTTATTCTTCAGAACGACCCGTCAGAGGACATCAGAACTCGAAGGTCATTTCTAGCATTTTTACCTTTTTTTTTAGATTGTTGAAGCTTGAAAGCTTTGACGTTGGAATGAAGACGTGGTTCTTGTACAGCATTTCATTCTTCTACTCGTCGACCTCAGGTAGAGACGCTATATCGCTGTGTCGCTGTGGTGTAGTGGTGGAGTGGTGCTGCAGAGCTGTGCAGGATGGATAAAATTAAACCGATCCATTTCGGGGATTTCTCTCGCACAAGCCAGAAACACAAAATCTTCTCAGATTCCTGCACCTGTAACAGTCTTGTCTGCCAAAAGAGAAAACCATAGTTAGAGACGTTGTCTTTCTCGACACGAACACATGAGTATATGAATGAACGGTGCTGGAGTGTTAGTGGTTAATCGTTCGTCATTCGCCACTGGCTATATATATACTGGCTACCAGGAGTCACTATTACATAGCACTAGCTAGTACTTCGTCTTTTTTTCCCCCGTGCCCTTCCTTCATTCAGGGTCTAAAACCAAGTACTACCTACATGGGTCACTATGTAGGTACTACCAAAGGGACATAGTATGGTATAGTATGGCATGACACCAAATGGTCATATTGACTGACTGACTGCGCAACCAACGCACCAGCTCCGCTCATCTCGCTACTCAGCTTGGTGCGTTAGGTAGAGTGGAGTAGAGGGCATCCCCCTTCGGTCTGTGTACATACATATATACATACGACGAGAGTCCAATTTCCAGTGAATAGAACATCTTCCCAAACATCTCCCGGGGCAAGGCCAGGTGGGTAGGCAGGTAGTGTAGCGGAGGAGGGTGCTATCAGACATAGGAGTATGGAAGAATGGAACGAGCTTCCCCCGAGAAATAGGTATGTACTTAATTGGCTGTGAGCGAGTAAGTGAGTAGCTGGGCAACTACAAGTCGTCGAGATTGCACGTCTCGAGCAGATCCTGCGTCAATTTCCCCTTCCTGCTGTATCCCTCGACGTAACGGTCTCCCCACTCGCCCACTGTGTTGTCGTAGGTGGTCTGGGGTTTCAGTTCGCACAGGTGGCACATGTTGGCTTTCAGGCCCTTCATGAGGCCGAGTCGGGGATATTCCTGCACACAGAGGTAAAGAAAGAGAAAAGGGGGAAAATCAGTAACGTCACAAAAATCTACGCCCGGAACTTCCTCTTGTCAAGGCATACATACCTTGACCACGGGGTTATATTCGTCCCAGCTCAACAACCCACCAGGCACCCGGTCGGGACCCTGAAAGTCTGCCCAGATCCCATAACTGCACGCCTGGACCTCGGGCTCTTTCTCAAACACGATGGACCCGATAGTGTGCAGGGCGATGGCATCCCAGACCAGCTGCAGCCGGTGCTTGTCCCAGTCCGGAGCCTCAGACGTCAAGAATTTCCGCGCCGCGTTGGCCCCATCGACCTCGAACCGCTTGTCCTTGGAAATAATGTCCGAGTGCGGCGGGTGGCCGATAGGGAAGCCCAGGTCGTGCATGATGGCGGCGACAGCATGAGCTTCGCGGTCGCGGTCAGGTAGGACCTTGTCGGCGATGATAAAACCGAGGAGGAACGAGCGGACGATGTGGTTGTACGTGTCGTCGGTCGAGTATTTGCGCACATAGTCGAGGGCTTTGGTGATGAGCGGCGTGTCGGGAACGGTCACGCCTGCGACCACTCTCGTGGGCAGAGCCTGCGAGGGAGATGCCATGGGGGGAGTGTGAGGAAGAGGAAGATGAATCAAACAAGCTACTCCAAGGGCATACAGACAGTCGAGTCGAGCTCAATGGATAGAGCAGATAGGTCCCTCGAAAGACTCGTAGTAGTGGCAGGAAGTAGTGTTTACTGTGCACCGGAAGAGTGCTTCTTGCCTAGTAGCATGTCAGGGCAGCGCAAATTTGACGCGAAGCTGTGGACAAGTACCGAAGTGTTGGTACCTCAGCATTGTAGCTGCCCCTCCACCACAGAGAGGGGTTCTTGGTTTCTCTGGCAGGGATCCTTGGACTCGAACGTGTTCGACTCTGACAGGTACAAGACTTGGACATGGAGCATGCTCGGTTCCGTGGTAGCTTTCGGAACGGATCTTTGAAGCGGATGCGGCCAGAGCCCATCGATGACTCGCCCAAGAACTTGTAGATGGAACCGTTGAGCTGGGAGAAGGACGGTGTCTTGACTGGCGGGTCCAGTGACAAGTAAGTCATGGAAACAAAGGCTGAAAAGCACAGAGAAAGGTCCATGAGGGGCGTAGTTGGCGCAGTTGGCGGGGGCTGGTGGAGCGCAGGCAGGGAGCCTCTGTCCTCCTAGTCTCCCTAGCCGCAAGCCGCGAGCCAGACTCCGTGGTGTCCGTCTGCGCCTTCATCTTTTTGTCTTCCCTTGGTCCTTCGGTGCCCAATACCTAGTGCCTGGGAGATCGACACAACGAGTCAGCTCTGGCAGTTTGGCAGTCATGAGAGGAGTTCGTATCGGCGGCGAGGGTGGGAACCAAAGCTTGTGAGGCCGAAACACCTTTTTTTCTTCGATAAACCCAACAAGTCAACACCATTCATCATCTTTGCCTTTTTTTCTGTTTTTGCTCCCGTCGCTTATCTCGTCTTATATTGATGCCTCCTCACAACCTTGCTCGAGCCGCCGCGGGGACCTCGACCCCTGGTCCATCCTCGGCTACAGGCGAAGAATCTGCGTCTCATCACTCGGACGTTGTCGATGTACGCCTCTTACTCCCCACCGGATGGTTTCTCTTCACGGCGATAACAGAGTATCTTTTCTTGCAGGTGGATGACGATGCCGATTCCGCTTTTGAGGATGGCGATAATATATCGTGAGTTTCGGAAATACTAGTACACGGGTTCTCGAGATTGTGGCTGAGACGAAGCTTTCAAGGGACACGACCTCAGTTGCCTCGTCGATATATCGAGGCCGGATAATAAACGGTAGAAGGTTGGAAATGGTCCCTACTAGATGGACTCTTGAGTCCCTGAATGTCCCTTTCCTGTTGACACCTCCAGATACTCGTCTTTGCGAGATGACTATTGGTATGATTCTCATTCCTGCATCCACGTAAACAAGGCTCACCATCTCAACAGGGGCCCCTCCGATGAACAACAATTTGAAACACTCAACGCTGGGTATGTGGATGTCAACGAGCAAACAATGGTGGTGCTAAGACAGCTGCCCTAGTCATGTCCTCTATCTCGTATTGGACAGCAATCAACCAAACCCTCTCTTTCGATCACCCATCGAGGAGCCACTGGTATGAGTTCTTAACCAAGTTCTGTTACTGCTTGTCATCGACTGACACCAACGCACTAGCATATCCTCGATATAGGGACAGGACCTGGCACTTGGGCCATGTGAGTCGAACCTCTTCTGTCATTTGATGCTCGTCTTCTTACTAGACGAAGTGACGTAGCCGATCAATTTCCTGCTGGTAGGTCAATATGAAACAAATCTCTGTCGTCCATCCCTAACAAACCCAGCAACCGTATATGGTGTTGACCTCTCTCCGCCGCCATCCAACTGGGTCCCTCCCAACTGCTTTCTCCAGGTGAGTTCCTGGCGATGTGGCGAACACTCTAGCTAACGCGAGTGTAGGTGGACGACGTCCTAGAAGAATGGACGTGGAGGCAAGATTTTGACCTGATTCATATGCGTCTTATGCTAGGTGCCTTCACAGACACTGAATGGACGACTGTGTATAAAAAGTGCTTCAACAACCTACGGTCTGGAGGATACATTGAACAAGTCGAGTTGGACGTGCGGGTCATGTCTGATGATGGTTCACTCGCCCCTGACTCGCTGTTAGCTGGATGGGGACAGACGTTCCTCGACTGTGCGCGACGGGCAGGTCGTCCCTTGGACACGCAGTTGACGATGAAGGCCAAGATCGAAGCAGCCGGGTTTGTCGACGTCCAAGAACACCTGTACAAATGTCCCATCGGCGCATGGCCCAAGGACCCGCTCCTCAAGGACGCTGGTCGGATTAACCTGACACACTGGAGTTCTGGTCTGGATGGATGGGCCATGATGTTATTGACGAGATGGGGAGCGCCGGAACCCTGGACGGCGGATGAAGCCAGAGTCTATGTTGCCAGAGTGAGGGAAGAACTGAAGAAGCGCCGACTGCACATCTGGCATTACACGTGAGTCTCTTTCAAGCGGTGGTTACTGGTGATCGGATCGTACTGACCAAGCGGCAACAGTCGACGTGTTTGGGGGAGAAAACCATAATTATTGGGATGGTTTGGTTCTATGCATTTAGCGCATGCGCTGCTGATGATTCACTCATGTCGTTTGCATCCGAGACGGCCTTATCATAAGCATGGGGGATGTTCGTTTCTAGCCTGGAATGGGGGCGGCGTTTGGTTTGTGGCTGTCTCCAAATATTCGGTGGATGATATCTCGATTCAAGATTGTCTCGAACTTCTCATGACCAGTTTAGTTATTATGATGGACTCTACCACCATCCATCTCTACAGAATGAAGCCTCGACGATGGAAGGTCCTCAGGAGACTGCGTGTTGATACGGACATGAGGACCTCTAGCACAAACAAGGTTTTAACGATTTGTATCCGAGTTGCTGAGGCTAGTAGTACTAGTAGTCTTCCGCTTAACAAGACCTTTTGATCCCTTGGTTCTTCCCTGAGGTCCCTCAAAGTTCAAGTGGTAGAGTAGGTACTTAGTATCGATCTGGTAGGACCTTCTATCCCGGTCAAGCTACGCACTACTATATAACACCGTGTTGACCCAGCACAAGTGTGGACTGGAAACTACAAGCATTCACATCGTTCGCATACTACCAATACTTCACTACTGAGTAGTGTATACACACACACACACACACACACACACACACACACACACACATTTCTCAACACAAACACAAACACGCATACACATACACACTGCAGATCCAGTTGCGTCATACTGCCCTGCCACCACCACTACCAACCCCAACCACATACTACAGTATACTACCTTCTACATAACAGAACCCACACAGTTCCATAGTCTCACAGTCTCTCCGAAGCAAATCTAATTTATCCAGCAAATATGTTTCCACTCATCCTCATGGCCACCATGGTCGGAGCTATCGGCCTGACGGTCTTCGGCGGGATGCCAAAATTCACACACCTGATCGGTTGATTTTGGGCCGTTTCGAGTCGTACGCGGGATGAGAGTGAGTTACTCGATACTACTATCTGGACAGGGGGAAGAAATACTTGGTATTGAAATAGACGGACGGGGGCGGGGTGTGTTGTTTAAATGAATCAGTGAAACGACGAGGTGATGGGGTGTTGGTTGTTGGATAATGGTTCAGTTTCATTCATTAACCGTTTAACGACTCATCCTCCTAGTGCTACTGTAGTACTACAACTTGAGAGAGAATCTTGCCACCCTCATGATAACAAGTTGTCTTTGGAATATTATCTGTCGATGGGCACCCATAGATCTCTTCGTCGAACATGCGGCCTGGGCCGGCGGGTTGTTGGTATAATGGAATCAGACACTTCAGGCTGCGTGGTTACCGTCTTGATTCATTGCAGATTGAATATCTAAAGTGTCCCTCAGGGAGTCAATTACTATTGACAAGTTGACTATTTGCTTGGGTGATCAAAGTCATCCTTTACCAGGTAGGAGCAGTACAGTAACGAGATGTAGAAGACAGGTAGTACGTACCTACTGCCCAGTGTGTGCGTTTGAAAGCAGATGACATTATTTCCCAGGACGGGCAACAGAACCTGCTTCCATCCATAACGGGAACATGACCTTCCCCCAACCGGAGATGAGTAGGAAGGTGGGAAAGCAGCTAAGCCCGATCCAGCCGAATTCGTGACGCGTTTCACAGCGACTGGATCGTGCCTTCTCGTTAATTGATTGATTTAATTCACGTTTACCTGCCACCTACCAACCTACTCACCTGGGTCCTCTCCTCCCTAAAATTGAGTGCATGTGTACTATCATTACCAAGTAACTGGTGAGTACTTTGCAAACAGTGACAGTAGACTCTACCTTTCGCACCCTATTTACGGTACTGCAGGGTATTCCGAAGAGGAATCCTCAGTCAGGAGTCCGACTCTTCAATCGCGTTTCTCTCTCTCTCTCTCTCTCTGTGTGTGTGTGTGTGTGTGTGTGTGTGTGTGTGTGTGTGTTTCTCATCACATTCAACAAAGGATAGTGTAGTACCTTATTTGCCCTTCCTTTGTGAGCAAATTGATATCAGTCGGGGGAAGCTACTACGTAGTTGGGACATCCTCGCACGTTTTGTATATGAGCTGGAAATCCGAAATACTACTTTCGGACAGTACAAAACTCCTTCCTACAAGCTCACTCACGAAAAATAAGCGATCGTGCCTATCTTATACATATAGGCAGAGAGAGAGAGAGCTACTACTCCACGGGGAGTATAGAGACTGCATCATGTATCTGATGCGCACAGCATCAAAAGCAGTATCAAAGCGATGTGAAAGGAGTCCGAAAGCGGTATTAAAGTAGCATCAATTTTCCACCTGGGGGGTGAGTGCTTGAGTACTACCTCGTACTTGATACTGGGTGGGTACTTCTCGAGATATCCGATTCCAAGATGACGCGAGATACGAGTGTTGTAGGGAATTACCACCACTCTACTACCTACCTACCAGTAGTATGTACCAAATCTCAGAGCGAAGTAGTACTACTTTATCAGGCTGAAAACATGGAGACTCATCGAGGTACTACTCAGTAGTACTTAGTACTTTAGGATCACTGAACCGAACATATATCGGGCGGGTACATACTTCCACATCATCGAATGCTTGTGAAGATATTGGAAGTGAACACAGTCATTTGTTCTAAAGTACTTGGTACTAACTAGTACTAGCATAAAAGTGCAATCTCGATAATGACACAAAACAAATGCCCGCTCTAGATGCCGCTCATAATCCCTTCTCCAATCAATCAATAAATATACGTAAATTCATCATTCTTGCGATCGGTAAGATCCAAAAAGGCATTGTCACCCAGTCTCTGCCCAGCTTCAGTCTCGTCCATGGCAACATACTTGTCTTCCATGGAATGATCCTTGATCTTGGCCGCCTTGCCGTTCTGCACCCGTTTCCTGGACTGCATCTTGTTCAAGAAAACAAGGTTCGCAAACTGGATGAAGATGACGGCAACCATCGTAACGAAGATGGCCAGCACCTTGCGCAGACCCGGGTGGTAGGCGGGCGCGTCCTTCTTGTTGAACAGGAGCGGGCCAATGATGTTGCCCGCGCTCGAGCCAGCATTGTAGAGGGACATGATGACGGATTTCTTGGTGCTGCCGCCAGTGTTGCCCACGATCCACGAGACAATGAGCGGGTTCCCTCCAAACAGGAAGGCCAGCAGGTAATAAGCCACCAAAAGTCCAGCGGTGGCACCCGAAGTCCGCGGGAGAACATAAAGAACAGCCAAACCGGCAATGACGGGCAGCATGAGACCAGCGAGGACAAAAGACTTGAGCTTGGCCTTTTGGGCTGCAAACGAAGCGAGGAGGATGACAATGACCTGCATCGCGCCGAAAGGCATATTGAGAAGTGAGGTCTTGTACTTGTCGAAGCCGACACCTTCGAGAATGAGGGGGCCAAAAGTATTGGTGACTGAGGCGCCCACATTGAGCAGGAGAGCAAGGCCAATCCAGAGATACGTCTTGGGCTCCATGGCCAGTTCGAGTATGTGCTGCCATTTGAACTCGCGGTTGCCTGTGCCGGTTTGGTTGGCACGAAGACGTTCAATGGCTTGTGCCTTTTCGTGCTCCGTCAGAAAGCGTGCCGAAGGAATATCATTGTCGAGGAAATACCACACGACGGGTGCCGTGACAACGGTGACCAGGCCGACGAACAGGAAAATAATCTGCCACGACGCCAGAGCGGATGAGGGGATGTGAGCCAGTCCGTAGGAGATGCCTGAAGCAGCAATGGTCGCAACTCCATTGGTACCATACCAGGCTGCAACGCGGAGGGGTTGTTCTGCTCGACGGTACCATTGGCTAGTGATGACGCTGAACAGTGGTAGACAGCCGGCTTCAAACAGTCCAAGGAAGAAACGCGCAGCCAGGAGCGAGCTGTAATTGTGACAAGCTGCCATCGCAGCTTGAGCAATACCCCATCCAAGGCAAAGGGCCGGCATGAGGATGCGATGAGGGACTCGCACAATGAGGAAGGATGAGAATGGCTGCCAGGCAAGTTGTGCGATGGGGGCGATAGATCCTAGAAAGGAATACTGATCGCCGGTGAGGTGTGTGTCCTCGGTGAGGCCGAAAAGAGCGCCATAACCGAGCACCGACTTGTCGAGAATCTGGAGGAAGTAGACCCAGACGAGAATGGACAGGATGACTTTGTCCGTCTTGCGTCGGATGCGTTTGTTCTAGCACACCTTGTCAGACTTAATGTTACCCCGTAATGATTCCGAAACTCACGTCTTCTTCGGTCAGCTCCACTCGCTGGTCTCCCACAATAGCAAGGGCTCGGTCGGCGTGCTTCAGAGATGCTCTACGCTCAGTGATGATGTCTTTAGACAGGCGACCGGACTCGACATCTTCGGCGTGAGCCTCGCGGAGGGTTTTGTCGTCAAAGGTGGTCATCGTAAAGGTGGCGCTTGGTATATTGCAGAATGCCGTTGATGTTTCCCACGTCTCCAGGATTTTGTTGAAGTGACTGGGGAAAGGACCAACAAGGGACGCAACAAGAAGATATTTATGTATCTAACGTGCCAATCTGTCACCCTCGCCTAGATGGGGAGTAGAAAATGAGGTCGAGAAATTTTGGAGGTTTAGGATCTGGAACCAGCTAGTATCACAGGTGTGGGGTCTGGGCATGCATCATTCACCCTACATCTTGACCATCTGGCAAAGCCCGAGAAATGCGCGGAGTACAGTAGTCAGATATGCGGGCTGGGGTAGAGTCTGGAGGGAGGATAGCCATTGGAGGGACTGAAGCCGGTGCAGGGTTGTGTGACAGCTGATGCACAACCCCGCAACTCCGATCGGCAATTGAAAAGCCCCAGGATTGGACAGACAGAGAAGATCGACACTCTGTCGCTTCCAGAATACAAGCGAAGGAGTCGGTCGGCAACGGCGAAAGGCACTTTGAGCGGGGGACGGGCATGATCGGATGATGGTGGCCGTTTGTTCATTTCTCCTTGTACCTCGTACAAAAAGGTGGCGAGGCTGAAAGTGGAAGTGCCAGTTGCTCTTGGCAGATGCAGGTTGACAGGCTGACAGGACACCTTCCCCTTCATCCGTCGTGGGGGTGGCGCTATCCCACTTCGGTCGACCCCCATGATGACCCCCACGACCAAAAATTGTCCAGCAAGGTTTTGCTTCTGGATGCGCCAGATGTGCGTAGGGCATCGCGTTGGACACATATGAGGAGTTGAGATCACCCAAGGCACGCGCTGGCCAAGACGACCAAGAATGAAAAACAGCCATAGCGAGGCTGAATACGGAGACTCGGCTCGTCTCGAAATGAACGATGGCATTCGCTTCCGAAGCTCTTGAAGGGGCTTCTTGTCTACCTCCCCATCTGATCAAACGCTCTATGCGGATATCAAACCCCGCACTATCCTCCACGACCGCCTTCATTGTACGTTATGTCAGAAGACGTTCTCTCGTTCACAGAGAGCCCGACACATTCGTAAGTATCACGCAGGAATCAACCCTACGGATGGCAGTATCGTATTGGTCGACAGGCCAGATACTGCGGATGAAAGGATTACTCAACCAGAGAAGAGCACCAATAGCCCGAGCCAGAAAGACACCAGCGAAGATACTCAGCTAAAGAAGAGCACTACGAGTCCGAGTCAAAAGCATACCAGCCCAAATACTCGACCAAAGAAGAGCACCAAGAGTCCGAGCCCAAAACATACCGACGAAAATACTCAACCGTCAACAACAAAGAAGCCTACCGGCAGACCACAGGAGAGAGGGTGGTCGCCACACCAGCTCCGAGGCTATACGGAGAGATGTGAAACAGCCATGGCCAGAGCCCTACAACAGCTAGCGGCCATACAGGAAGTGGATGTAGATCTATCTAGCCGTCTCGCGGCCGAATTACCGCCAACGATGTCCCCTCCTGCCCCAAACGGCACGTCTCATCGTAGCCATCCTCTTATTCACCAGACAACTGACCCAACACATCACCGACGCATTCAACATCCACGCCCTCCGACCCTACATCCATCAAGAATGTGCTTGGTTCCTTTCGGGTGCCGGCCTGTGCCACTGGTGGTCTGCTGTCGTAGCATCGGGGAGGAGGCGTCATGAGCAGTGGGAAGAGCCTGGATGTGAATATTAGCGAATGTCTACCTCCAGTGACACAGGCGTCCGACGACCTGGAACTTCGACTTACCATCGTATTGTGCAGATCCCCCATCTATTCGACCACCACATGTCGATAGGGGTTCTCAGTCTTTATCGATATTCGCCCCGTTTTCTTGGTCGTTGTTGACGACTTCTGCGATTGCTGGGGCTGTTGAGCATCCTTCATCCCGTATTGTACTCTCCACCACTTTTCTTGGTCGATCCTGTTTCCTAAAGCCCAAAGCTCTCTATCTCCCAAACTCTCCACCGTGACAGAGATGCCTTGCTGCAACTTGGCTTTCTGTAGATCGAAGTACTTCGACACTACGATCCCTATGAACCCCACCACCGATATCGACCCCAGGAGGGTCGTGCATATCTTATCGTCGTGGGACATAGGCATGACTGGTCCGACTGAATGACTTGGTTGATGAGGTTGTCCGCCAAGTGATCGAGGGCTTTTCTTTTCCGGCGGCAGATTGTGAAGTATGTCGAGTATGATGGTCTGACAGGATCAGGAAGACCCGGAGAGAGATGAGATGCTTTATATACCTTGCTGAGTGCGGTGGACCGCCAGTGACACAAGGTTTGAACCAAATAAGGAGCCGAGTCAAATACCAGTTGTTCTATGGTTCTTGGACGAACTTATCGCCTGGAGGCCGTGATCGTCATCACCAGAAAATTTCCTGAGGACCTGGGAGTCTTGTTCGAGTCGACTTCTTTGTTGGGCGACTTCCGTTCAATTGTAGTTTGGTGGTCACTGGGTGCCCTCTGGTCACCATGTTGGCGAGTCCCTCAAGTTCATGTCATGTCCGCCTCCGATGGAGAAGCCGTTGCAGCATCCTTTGGTACTATACTGGCCCTCTTTGACCACACATTGCCATCTCCTTGGGCCGGATGTATCACTTCTCGATGAGGATGCAGTCGTTTTGATGAGGACTCGATGGGATTTCGCCCCAAATCCGGGCCGCAGAGTGACATGAGGTGCCGCCTGAATTATGCCCGCTGCACACCCATCAGCATTGTGAACATGATGAAGTCTGCAACTCAACAACTCATCCCACCCACCCTCGCGCAAGGCTTCCTGGGGGCCTCCCTACGACTCTTCGGGCAGAGAAGAGTCTGACGCAGCCGGTGTGTCACGAGTGCTCTGCGGGCGAGTATCCGATCCACGCAGAGCAATCTCGTGTGCACGCTGGCGCTGCAGCTCCTCTCTGATAGGATCGACTACTCTAAGACACCGTCAGTATGCCAGTCAGCCAAACAAGATGGGAGACAGCGGTCACGCACGAGCCGTAGAGGATGAGGGCTGTAGCCCCCAGGAAGAGCGCGCTTTTAAATAAGAATGGACCTAAATGGTCAATATGGATATTTATATCCAAAAGGATCTGGAAAACAGAAAATTTAAAAAATACTCTATCAGCCATATTTATTAAATATGTTTCTAATAGATATGGAGAGAGAAAAGGGGGGTAGAAGACTCGGCCGGCTGCGAGAACGGTTTTGTTCGGCTCGAAGAACATCCCAGGGCAGGAGCGAGCGCTGTCCAGCTGTCCATCGTCCATCTCTGAGAAAACTACCAGAGAGGAGCACGTCGGATGAAGCGGGAAATTGAGCAGGTTAAAAGGGGCTAGCTCTGAAGGCAGGAGTAGCTCGCCGTTGATGGATGCAAACAACAGAAGGGAGAAGGTGCCTGTTCCATGGCAACTTGATTGTGCACGGGTGCTGGTGAAGGATATCCGCTGCAGCAAATTTGATCATGAGCAAACGTTGCGAAAGGAGTTACCTGCAGCTCTAATCATCCGCACTCTTCTGCTTGGGTTCGACTCTCATCCTCCATTCATCCCAGTCGAACACGCCGTGTCCATACGTCCATGACCCAGGCTCCCGATGGGGAAGTACCACGCCTTCCTTGTCCTTGAAGAACACCAGGCCACCAGGGACTTCTTTCAGGGGGTTGCCTTCCCCTTCACCAGACCTGCCGACAGGTCCAACATCAAAGCCACAGGCTTGGTAGAATCTCTCCTTCCCATCGGCGGCGATCACGCTGCACGCGACACCCTCCCGTTGTGCTTGCCATAGACCCATCATGACGAGGGCGCGGCCCTGGCCCTGGTTCTGATATCCAGGGTGGACGGCTAAGCATTCCAGGTACCACGACTCGGAGCGTTGGCCAGTCCAGATATGGTCGAGGTAATTATAAGACCGTTCGATGATGGTCTCGTCTTCTGCCGACGCCGCACGATTGGGTGAAAGCCATCCAAGAAGTCCCACAATCAACTGTGTCATGGGTCGAAGCAAGCGTCCTATAATGCAGCCATTCAGCACCATACCTCAAAGTGGGGGTACGAGGAGTGTAGACATCTTTCAATTCCAGAGCCCCTTCCTTGCGCCAGCATCGCCAGCAAGACTTGGGTCTCGAATATCTGCAGACCTTGACACATGGTAGGCTAAAGGGCCGCCTTTGAATTTATGCAATTGAACCAATATACTGCAAACAACATCGTGGAGAAGCACTTACTCGGATCCCACCAGGCATACCCCCAGCCAGCCTCATAATTCTCCTTCCAACTTGGAGCCATGCGGCTCCAGTGTGCAACCCCAGTCACAATTTCTGCCAGCCCGTTTTTAGAACGTACTGTTGTCACGAGGAATATATGGCTGGGGTCCCACCAGTCGACGATGAACCGGCGATACCAATATTTCTCGACATCGCCAGGATATGACTTCCTATGCGGATGGATCAGGCGGCCAAAGAGTACATCGTCGTCAAAAGCAAGAGAGCAAACACGTGCCGCTGCGGAGAGGTCGGAGAAGCGTGCCCTTCGACAGTCGAAGGCTCCCTGTGCAAGGAGTGACGATGGAGACCAGGACCGTGTCGTGGGAGTCATGGTGAGCACTCCCCTGCGGGTTGTACTACTGCTGTCTCGACTGTGCTTGGGCCAACTGCCCGTGTGGCTGCTGACTCAAGCTCTCCACACTTCGCGTGCACAGGTTAAGCCACTGGAGGTTCTTCGCGGCTTGAATGTTGTTCAATTGGAATGTTCTGATCTCCTGGGGGTTGCTGACGGTGGATATGTTGAACTACACGCGGCTGAGAGGTGTAACCGGGAATTCAGATAGATGTTGGTTTTTGATAGGACCGCATGCGAATCCTTTGATGATGCCCTCGACTTTTGAGACGATTGCGAGCGAATGTGCAATTGTAAGCACGATTATGGCTGATATGCAGACAAAGCAGATGGACTTGTCCAAGAAGCTATGTGGTGCGACCGCTACAGCTCTTCGCTGCGTTATTCAACGGGAAAAGACTCCGTACAGCTTTCAACGGCTCCTGTGATGCGTGCGGATGAGATAATGGATGCTGGAATAGTGAAATTGGTCTGTTCGAAGTCTGACCTCAACGACGACGACAACTCCTCAATCAGGCTAAGGAGGACCCCGGACAAGTGTGCCACCCCCCTGAATCAAGCCTTATGTGTTAGGTGAGGGAAATGCCAGAATGATAATCGTACGTTGGAAACGTTGCCCGTTGGACAGTATTTTGTCGTCGTTGTGTAGTCTCGGGTTCTTGTGGTTATGGTTCGTGGGCTCCGAGTTGCAGGAGGTGAAAAGGTATGAGGACCTGCCTTGCTGTAGTGGTGCGATGGACAACCCTGCATGTCCGCTTAAGACACCCTCTTATCTGCTTGATTGGCCAGGGTTACTCAGGGTCATTTTGGCGAAGCCTTCTGCCTGCGAGGTACGGGGTGGAACTGCTGTGGCTGAGTGGAGATACTGATCCACGGCCAGGACGGAGACTGGAGAAGGACTTTCCAAAGGAGAGAGCTAGACAGTTGTGTGATAAGAGGGTGGTGAGGGTGAAGGACTTCCGTGCTCCGTGATGCGTGGCTGCGAAGAGATATGAACGATGTGCTTCAACCGGCTTCACCACTTGAACGAGGAGGGATAGTCTCAGCGGAGAGCCAGCCAAGTACGAGGCACACACACACACACACACATACCGAGTACATACTCGGTACAAAGGAGGGAATTCCACACCCGCATGCGCACCAGGCACAAACAAGGCGGGGCACATCAACCTTTTTCCTCGATCTCCTTTCCCTCTCTCTCTCTCTCCGATCCCTGAAACCTTCTCGGGGTTCCAAGTACGGGTAACGCCTTGCCGCGGGAAACGCATGTAACCGTCCCACGCCCCCGTCAGAAAAACGGACTTCGTGCCCACCCAACTAACTAACTAGTGCCGTGGGCGCCTGCGCCAGTTCGGTAAAGGTCGGCGGCTGGCCTTATTTGACATTGTGCCATATCGTTTTTGGAACTACCGGACAGTGCAATCGGGAAGAGGATGGTGATGCATGCATGCATGGGACGAACGAGATAACTTGATCAGGGAAGACCAAGGTCACTAACTGGTGACAGCCTGGTGGCGGCCTGGAGGTACCTGGCACATCATATGTGTATCATACGCTCGATACCGTAGCAATAGTGAATGGCGCGAGGTGTTGGAAGAAAGCAATACCACCACACTCATACGCACGCAACCCTCTCTGCCCTACAGCGTCGTAATACAACGTAGATAGAGACCACGCGTGTGATCTCATTATAGCCCATTCATTTTCCTCCCTTAGAACCCATAGAACCTCGCTGAGACCGTCCCATTTTTTTAAGCCTGTATACCACGTCCTCCTGCGCCCCCAGGACCTGCCTGATTTCCTCCTGATAGACCTTCCCAGTGTGTGACCGTACCCCGTATAGAGCTGACCTGTACTGAGCCTCACGCCGGACCTTGTTTTGTCTCGTAATGAATGTCCCATTGGGAGTCCTTGCGAATGATGTGGTCACGGCTCCCGCCACTGTCGATCGAAACGTCCTCCCTGATCACGGTAACTTTGTTGTCGCCAGCTTCTTGCTGTGGGACAATTGGGTATTGCTCGGCGTCGTGGTACGACTTGCCCGCAGATCTTGACTTTGCCGTGCCTTTGCCTGGCAAAGAGTCCAGCTCGAAAACATTCATGATTCGCCCCAGCCGTCCGGACCCAGACCCAGATCCAGGTCCAGATCTCTGCCCAGAACCCCTGCCCGAGCCATATGCCTGCGTTAGAGAAGGATCCAGCTGGATGCCGAATCCGCTGCTGAAGCTTCGAACGAACGACTTGAGGTTGGGGACCGTGGCTGCAATAAGTGACCAACACAACTGCACCTGTTGGATCACGATGACGGGCACAATCGCAATACCGGGATTGTCGGCGCCGGTGTATTTCGCGACATAATGGAGGTGGAGGATAGAAAGCGCGGCCACACTATGCTTTCGTTAGCACAAAATGCAACATAGATTGAGTGAAGTTGACCCACGGGAGGCGGAACGCAAAGGCCAGCACAACCTGGAATTTCATTGCCAGGGCCAGATGGACAGGCCAAACAACGAAGACGGTGATCAAGACCAAAATGCACTCTGTTATCACGTCAAATGCAGTGATTAATTGCCAGCGCAGGAACTGATCTCTCATTAGTGCGTGTTCAGCACAGCACTTGAATATCATTTTGCTCACCTGACCACCGCATCCCTCGCTATCTCCTTGAATGAAGCCTGGAAGAGAGCAGTTGACCGCCACGGCCACAATTGACAAGAGTCCCCAGAGAGCCATTGTGACCAAGACAGAAACGCTGATCCAGTACAGGACTTTTGACCGGAAATCTTTGGCTGTTCGTGGACCGACCAAGTTGAAAAGCCTCATCATCAGACAGATCGTAGAGGCTTTCGCTATGGTGGCGGAAATGATGAACAGGATTTGACTAGTAAAAGTTGCCTGCGAGGGTCAGTCACGGAGAACTTGGTATGTCACAAGAGCTGAGCTCATACGCGGCTGGCATCTGAAAGTTCGTCCTGATCCAGAAGCTCCTGAGTCTTTCCCAGTCCATTATCCAGTCCAACGATCACCGCAGCCACCTCTCCGACCTGGATGACCTATACCTCCAGTCAGCATCCCGCCCACAACCCGTCGTTCAAGATGTCCCCTCACGGTTGCAGCCAGGGCAAGATAGTCGTCCAACCTGTACATCTTCCACCTCAAATGACCCCTCAACGCCAATGTGAGGATCGAGTAGATGAGGCATAGCAGCGTTGCAATCCATACCGACGCAGCGTGGTTGTCAGGCGTAATCGGTGAAAAGCGATGGCTCCCCATGCTTCGTCTTGGTAGTCGGGAGAACAACGCCGAACAAGAACAATCAAGAGCAGGATTAGATCGTGATGGGAATATTGGTTCTGAGTAATAGAAACACGGCCAGTATTCGACAAAGTGCAACAAGGCTGGACTAAGTGTCTTCCTCCACCATAGCGCAAGTGCTTGAAGAATAGTACAAAAGTACGTTGGAGGAGACGTAGGGTTATGTGTCATAGAATATCAACTGGGGCTCGAGGTGGTATTTGCAACTGTATAGGCTCCAGAGAATCAATGCTTCGAGACGGAATTGAGTGTCCCATGTCCCCAATTCGATCCACAACCACCCCTGGTGACTACGCCGGGAGGTCACCTTCACCAGGTCTGTCCACACGCCTCCCACAAACTGTTTCGGAAGGGACCTTAAATGGACAGAACAACCCGCGTTCTCGAAACTCTGATAAGTGCAAGGATATGAGAACAGGTATGTTTGAGGTTGGAGGCATCACCGGGACAAGCGCGGGAAGCAACGGCCTGCCAGAAAAGTGACAAGGACACAAGTGGCGCATATGGCAGCAAAACTGAGGTTGCTCGATGTGATGATCATTACCCGGGAGGCTGCAGCTGGCTGGTGCACTCGCAAGGAAGGTTTGGAAGGCGAAAAGGTGTGGCATTGTGCTTCTGAGGCGCAAAGGAGGGTCAGGTCGATGAGAAAGAGGCATGTGCTCGACACTGAGACTTTTGCTTCTGCTTGGTAGCAAATTGTTGTCGCGGTGACAGCTGGTGAAGTGCCGTGGTCGTCGAATGGAAGATCCACACGCATCAGAACCAAGATATTACCCACAACACCTTTGCCGAAGCAGCTAGCCCATCGCTAAAGGGGGCTGCTCACTATCCAGACAGAGGCAAGGGTGCGTCCTTGGACTCGTATGAGCTGGGAGGAAGAGGGGTGGCGAGATGCTTCCCCGGGTGTCCTACTGCAGATCAGTCACCAACTGCGCCAACATGCAGGTAATGTATTTAGCGCACAGACTCAGTTCGTGTCGGAGCCACCCTTGATCCGAAGTCTGCGAGCATTTGCATGAAAAAACTCTGTATATCCAGGCCTCTCTTATTCGTCCTCGATTATTCCGATCCGTCAGAGTTCAGGGGAGAGTTTGACAATGAGCAACCTGTCTGGGTATGGCTGGACTTGAGCGACCCAGATCACCTCAACGCAACCATCCCAGATGACAGCTGGTGCTGTCGTCTTCGTTCACTGATCGTTATCAAGGTGAATTACGGCTGACTGGCAGGAGGGGTTTGCTGGTCGAGTCGTACAAAGTGCCACTGAAAAAGCGCCTTGGCTGGAGTCGGGCTTAGGCTTTGCTTGCCTGAAGCCCTCAACACCATCCCATCAAAGCCCAGCCGAATCTTGAAAACCCAACCCCCTGAATGGGTCTTGGAGACAACGGAGGAAACGAGGGATCTGGCCTAGTTCAGGGTCTGCCGAGAGGTTGAAGTGTCAATGAAGGTTACAAGTAAACTTCGGAAGCATCAAACAAGCCTGAGGTTGCGAGCCTGGACTGCGGCAGCACCAAGGAGCAAGCTGTTGATCATCACGCCAATATTTCTCCGTTCTCACAAGTAGTGGGCGGGAGCGAGAGGGAGGCTGTTTAGTCTTATCGGTAGCGTTCGAGGGGCGTCTACCCGGAGAAAATCTAACTACCAGACATGGCAATGAGTGGATC